TATTCCTACCACCTTCCAAAACACTATTATAGCATACAAGTATTCTTGTATGGTACAGTGAACAATGGTACCATTTCCATGTACCACTGGCACCTTGCACCACACCGAGTGGTTACATGCATCCATACATCATACGCTAACGTACCACATTTCACAGACTGTACCCTATAGTGTTGAGTGTATAGGATACAGTCAACACTGTACCCTATAGTGTTGAGTGTATAGGATACAGTCAACACTGTACCCTATAGTGTTGAGTGTATAGGATACAGTCAACAGTGTACCCTATAGTGTTGAGTGTATAGGATACAGTCAACACTGTACCCTATAGTGTTGAGTGTATAGGATACAGTCAACACTGTACCCTATAGTGTTGAGTGTATAGGATACAGTCAACACTGTACCCTATAGTGTTGAGTGTATAGGATACAGTCAACACTGTACCCTATAGTGTTGAGTGTATAGGATACAGTCAACACTGTACCCTATACAGTGTTGTAGATTGTACCTTGAACGCCAACCAGAATCCATTAATGTAGAAGACATTAGGGAAATCCTGTGTTGTACCCATTCCTGTACCATAAGTGTACATAAGTGTACCCATAAGTGTACCATATAGAACCGTAGATACACCTTACTACTGCCAGACATTTGGATGTGTTAACTGCCTTAGAGTGAACAAGTGTCCTGTTGTGTGTGTGCTTTATAGACAATGGTGCATGCTTTTGTGTTTGTAACATGCACTTTATTTGTTCAGAGTGCATTTGTTGGCTTTTACAGAGCGCTTTAGCATAGAGTCGATCTTGACATAGAGTGAATCTTAGCCAAGAGTGCATTTTAGCTTAGAGAACATTTTAGCCAGAGTGCATTTTAAAGCTTTAGAGTGTTTTATTTTAAGGCTTCAGAATGCATTTAGCTTGAGTGCATTTTAGCGTGTATTTTTATCTTAGAGTGAACATTAGTTTACTGTGTATTAACTTATACATAACTTTAGAGTAAAATTTTAATAATATCCATAGAAAGATCAAGTAATTTTTCCCTCAGTAACAATGAGTTTTTTGTTACAATTTAAACGTTTGTCTACTTTTGTGAGACTTGAAATATAAATCCAAATTTGTTTTTATTCAACGAAATTATTTGATTAAACAAATATAAAATTAAGTTTACGGGAAGCGCGGTTCAAAATTGGAGTAGTGAAGTGTGGCGAAGCTGCGCCTGGCGATACTTGCTCGGCATTCCTAAATCAAGAGCCATTAAGCACTTAGGTGTCCAGTTACGAAGCCAGTGCATCTTTGCTCAATCATGGTGGCTTAGTTTCTATTGAATACACTTTTTATGAGCTCAGAAGCGCCAAGAGGTAGACAACAATCTTTGGGTTGTGAAGTTTCCAAGCTCACAAACTGTTTGCTAAATACAAAGTCACGCTGATGAGGTAAATGATGCAAAGGTTTCGCAAGTGGATACCTGAATGCTTGATACCTGAGGGGCGTGTATCGAGTGGGTGATCTGGGAGTAACTTCGCTACACTCCTGCAGCTAATTCCGCTAGTTTTAATGTAGCGTTCCTGCGAGTCCTTGATTCTGTACTAAGATCTCTTGTGTGTGTTTTCTCTCCTGTAGGTGAGAAGGGCTATGAGGAAGGCAGAAGAGGAAGATTACTACTACTAAACGGTTGAAGGAGACCTCCACCACACATCCCTCGACCCCCAGCCACCAATCCCCCGGGCGACAACACACACACATATTGCGTTTTAAGGCACCGACTGACTGCTGGCCACACCACCAGGTCGTACGATCGACGGATGGGCTGATGCTATTCACAACTGCCCAGCTTCGACGAGCTTGTGGGCCACCGCGCTGCAGGAAGAGCTCATAGTGAGACGTCTCTTCACACACTTGGGGGCAGAGAGAGAAAGAGAGAGAGAGAGAGAGAGAGAGAGAGAGAGGATCGAACCGACAAGGGCTCTTCTCCTCTCCCAGAGCCTGAGAAGTCTCTCTGTGACATCTCTTCACAGGCGCGATGGACAGACAAGACCTCGTTACATCAGTCTGTACCACTGACGGAGTCTGTGGCCTCATCTCCTATCTTCTACGTGGGTTCACAAGTGTTGGCTTCTCTACCTTCCGTTGATGTAGACGGCAGGGCTGAAGCATATCACTGAGGGCTCAGCGTGTTGAAGGGACGCAAACTCCGTCTCGTACAGAGATTAGATATTCACTGAAAACTTCAGAGAGACGCAAACACTTAAAACTTCAGAGACGCAAACACTTAAAACTTCAGAGAGACGCAAACACTTCAAACTTCAGAGAGACGCAAACACTTCAAACTTCATTCAGAGACGTAAAAGCTAAACTCATGGAGACTATATCTTGTTAAAATTTGTGTTCCACGTTAAAGTTTCCTCAGTAACACAAAATTTGACTGAACTTTCATTTTGTTGGTAACCAATTTCCCAATTATGTTTCGACCCATCTCTCACACTCGTGCATTTTGTATATGAAATTGGCAGAACAACAATATACTTTGCACGCAGTGACTTATATATTAAATGAAGAAAAGCAAAAATTTAAAAACAAAATACAAAAAAAAACTAAAAAATAGGCCTATAATGTTACTTTCATCAATTAATTTCAGTTTGAGTTCCCCAAAGGAAGATGTTTCTCTTAACACAAGGGTTTTTTTTTCCTAACATCTTCAACATTCAAACAACCAAACTGATTTAGCGGATTTTACTGTACTGTCTTTTCTTGCAAACACAAATAAAACAAATGTTTGAAAAAACTTTGTTTGACTCTCCTGTGTATGTGTGTGTGTGTGTGTGTGTACGCACCTAATTGTGCTTGCGGGGTATGAGCTTTGTCTCTTTGGTCCCGCCTCTCAACTGTCAATCAACTGGTGTACAGATTCTGGTGTACAATCAATTGGTTTGTGTGTCTGTGTCTTACTGTTGTTTATCTTACCATTTGTGAGCGGCTATATAGTGATCTAGACGAAGATCAAGATCTAACTTGATCTAGACGAAGCTTTCGAACTTAGAAACCCACAAGAAGGTCTACTCAAGGTAACCAAGTCGGAGAGAGGGAGAGAGAGAACTACCAGGCTGGATTCAAGACTGCTGAATCCAGGCTGGATTGCTTAGTTCACCAGTCATTGTTAACTTCTATATATCTTGAGGTTATCTTGAGATGATTTCGGGGCTTTAGTGTCCCCGGGGCCCGGTCCTCGACCAGGCCTCCACCCCCAGGAAGCAGCCCGTGACAGCTGACTAACTCCCAGGTACCTATTTACTGCTAGGTAACATGGGCATTCAGGGTGAAAGAAACTTTGCCCATTTGTTTCTGCCTCGTGCGGGAATCGAACCCGCCCCACAGAATTACGAGTCCTGCGCGCTATCCACCAGGCTACGAGGCCCCGTACCTCAGCCACAGGTACGACAGAGCTAAACTGTCAGGTCATGCATCAGCCAATCAACTGCGAGAGAAAGGGACTCCACAAGGATGACTTCTGAACCCTCGTCATTTTTAAACATGTCAATAGAAACCCTCGTTACCATGACATTTGCAGAAGGGTAGGGGGGGGGGGTTATAAATTGTCAAGTTATGCTGATGATACAGCATTAGTCGTTACAGGTCCTTGAACCTTGCAGGTCACAGTACAGGTCATATTGCTTACAAAAAGTGCAGGTTTTTTAAGTAACATCTGAATCTAGTTATGTTGGAGGTCCTCAGAGGGACTCAAGTACAAGTTCCTCAAGAGGAGAGGAAATGTGAACAAGTCTTAAGTCTGTAAGTCTGTAGGTATATGAGTAAGCCTTTGTGCAAGTCCGTATGAATATGAGTAAACCTTTGGATAGGCCTGTGAGGAAGTCTGTATGTATAAGTAAACCTTCCTGTAAGTTTGTGAATAAGTCTGTAAGTACATGAGTAAGTCTGTAAGTACATAAATAATTCTGTAAGTACATGAGTAAACCTTTTGGGTAAGTCTGTGAGTAAGTCTGTAAGTACATGAGTAAGCCTTTCTGTAAGTCTGTGAATAAGTCTGTAAGTACATGAGTAAGCCTTTTGGGTAAGCCTGTGAGTAAGTCTGAATACGTCTGAAAGTAAGTCTGTAGCTGGTAAACCAGTTTCAACAAATTAAGTTACAACATTCAGTTATCGTCTCAGTGAAAAAACTAAAGAAAAATATATGCGAGCTAAACAGTCCAGCATCCGGCCGAGCCGTCAGACATCAGGGAGGCTGTATCCGGCCTCCTGCTGATAAGTCTAAACTGCTAGATAGCGACTGTTTAACCACTAGATAGCAGCTAGTGTTCTCCTGTCTCTGGCAGGCGATCAGTGCAGTATATGAGAGGAGTATATCAGAGGCAGTATATCTTAGTCCAACATAATCAGTTGCATGAGCAATATCAGGGACTGCTCAAGACTTTCGCGAGGCCGTAACTTGGTCAGAGAAGTCTGGTTCCACTAAGACTTTCAGTGGGACATACGGAGGGAGTTTTCTAAGTGGGAATTGTGTCTGGGGATTAAGAGGAGCTCCTGGTCTTCAGTGGTGAAAGAAGAGGGTCGTTTTCTTATCGCCACTTAAGGTGAGTATTGAGATGTCTTTGGTTTCAATGATTGTTGCAGGCCGGAGTTCGATCCGCGATGGTCCAAGAGGTTGGCACCGCTAGATTCACGAAGCAGTTACGCAAGCACTTAAGAACCTGTACATCTTTTCTCAATCTTTGGCGGCTTTGTTTACAATTACTAAACAGTTAATGAGCTCCGAAGCACCAGGAGGCTGTTTATAACAATAACAACAGTTGATTGACAAGTTTTCATGCTTGTAAACTGTTTAATAAATGTAACCAAAGCCGTCAAAGGTTGAGGAAAGATGTACACGTTCGTAAGTACTTGCGTAACTGCTTCGTGAATCTGGCCCCTGCTGTCCACCAGAGGTCACTGGAGTTGTTCCCACCAAACACACACCGAAACTACGACGTTGGTACAACGTTCGAACAAGTTTTAACACCTCCTAACCAGATATAACAACCAATATAGCAAGTTGTAACAACGTTCTAATACGTCATAAACACGTTAAGCCAAAATGTAACAACTTTATTACAAGTTGTAACAAGCGGAAAATAGAGACAGTTTCGGTTTGTGTTTCCAGGGGGAACTTTGCCTCTATAGGTGCAAGATGCATCTGCCGGAACTTTGCCTCTATAGATGCAAGATGCATCTGCCGGAACTTTGCCTCTATAGGTGCAAGATGCATCTGCCGGAACTTTGCCTCTATAGATGCAAGATGCATCTGCCGGAATTGCTATGCGTGTTAGTGACTTTGCAAGAATGTAAGAACACTTTCACAACCCAATGGAGCTACTTGTATATATTTTTAAAATAAAAAAAAATATTGAAAATATTTATTCGTTTTCTTTGATAAAACATTAAGAGAAAATATATGAATCGTACGAATTTAAGGGGTGACAAGCGTAGATTATTCATTCTACTTTTAGATGCATTTCCGACATATTGTTTCCCGTTGATGGGACAGAAAGCCTGTTAGGCTTATTAAGGTCCTTTTAAACCAACTATCGACCATTCCCACAGTTGACTTTCAGTTGCGTTCTGACTACGCTGACCACTAAGCCACAGAACCAGTAATTAAAACAATTCTAAATCTTCGTCAGGAACATGTATCTAATCTTACACATAGGACATATACTATGTAGTCAATTGCACATAGATTTATTATGATAACGCAGGACCAGAAAATCTCTAACTCCCTCCTTGAGGAAGCTATCGAGTGAAGTGTTGTGTACATATTTGTAGTATAAGAGAATACCTACTCAAAGCTGGAGGCCAGATGCTGTGGGCTAGCCTCACACAAATTTGGAAATGATCTAAGATCCGGGACAGAAATGGGCCGATCGGGGTAGGCCTAAGTTAAATACTCTAAATATAGCCTATAACGCAATTCCCCTCCCCCTTTCTTGAGATTTTCCTGAAGTTTGAAATGAAATTAGGCATAATTTGTCCGTAGAGTATTGAAGTTACTCCTGCCGTTAACCCGCGCATTTTTATGATTTACTTTATGTAAATGTCTGTGTTCGACGTGGCAAACATCTTCTGAAAACTAGCCTTAATTAATCATCAGCCCAATGATAAGACCATCAACGCATCCATCTTCAGAGATAAAACGCACTTAATATCTCAAATTATAACTTAACTCACAAGCAATAATGAATACACAACCTAATTACACTTATCAAAAGCCTAAGACATTCCAATTGCCAATCACACACCGAGGAAAACTAGGAAATAAATAACTCTACTTACATAGTTGATCAAAGAAAGTGTCACATCTTGACAAATACACGACCGAAACCGTAAACATTCATTCGAAATTATAATTCTAAACCACAATAATTCTAGAACGTTATACAAACGCAAATGAAGTGCATCAAAATTTTAAATATTTATTATATATATGTATACAAATTTTTTTTAGCAGAAGAACCACATAAAATAAATAGATAAGCACAACATTATACTCAATACCTCAATTAAGCAAAAATAAATTAAAAAAATCAAACAAAATAAAGAAAATAAAATTCAAGGGTAAACTAAAAAAAAAAAATAAAGTCTCCTTGAAGCATGAGTAAAGCGAAGACTAAAACATTAATAAAGTTAACACATTACACAACTGTACAGCTAAAGCATTATTGATCAACACAGGCTGCACCTCTCTCATATATAAAGGTTCCAGTACACACACAGATCAACCGACCTCTCACTCAACTATTCTAAAATGTCAAAACGGAATAATGCAAAGGATGATCCGTATCATGATCTCGGAGAATGTTGGCTTAGATAATAGTAAGCCGGTGCTAAAGGATACCCTTGACTTGAATCGACTTGAGAATGGTCCAGGACGGACCGAAACGTCGTCGTCCCTTCAACTTCTAGTGTGTGGTCTGGTCAACATACTTCAGCCACGTTATTGTGACTCATCGCCTGCCTAAAGGATACCCCCTATGTCCTCCAGCATTATAATTGTAAAATTACCAATGGAACTTTCAACAGATCCCACATGACAGCTGGAACCTTTACACAGGAATCACTGGAGCACAATCGAATAAGGCACAGTCATTAAATTTAAATTAAGACTCAATGGTATTCGTGTTAACGAAAATCAACCTAAACTACACGTGAGCCAACCCGTTCTCGCACTTTCGTATAGTCAATATTGACTTATTAAATACTTGCATATGTGACATATTAATTTATTGTGAATATTTTAGTTTCCCTTGAACAGCTTCATAGAAAACACCGACCTTACCTAACCTTCTTAGTATGTTAAGATAAGCATCTTATTGCTTCGTAATTACAATTATTACCTAACTTATTATAGGTATAGGTTAAGTAATAATTGTAATTACGAAGCAATAAGATGTTTATCTTAACACACTAAGAAGGTTAGGAAAGTTTTGTGTTTTCTATGAAGCTTTTCAAGGTAAACTAAAATATTCACAATAAATTAGTATGTCACATATGCACTTATTTAATAAGTCAATATTGACTGTAAGAAAGTGCGAGAACGGGTTACGTGAACATAATAATAATTCTGTAAGAGCTAGAGGGTTCAGTTCCTGAAATTATGTGCCTCTGTAATCCTTTACACCGCCGCCCACGGGATGGGTATGGGGTGCATAATAAAGAAAGAAA